GTTTGTGAGGCCGGGGGGAGACTGGGGCAGGGGGGGGCCCAACCAGGAGCCGACGGGGGTCCAGGGTGGCCACCCCCTGTCGGTGGGTGGACGGGCACCTCTGCCTCGCCTGGGAGGGGGTCACAGGACAGGGAGCAGGGTCCATCCGCAGTGAGGGCACGAACGAGGCCCAAGGGGTGCCGGGAGGGGAGGCAGCTTGCAGAGACCCCAGCACCGCTCTCCCGCACCCCTCGGGTCCCACCGGGGCATCCCGCCTCCCTGCGGGGATTTTTTAGCTGGGGGGGACCAGTAGCATGTGTCCCCCACCACCTGCCCTGGGGAGGCACCACCGTCTCCTGCTCCCCCCATTTCCCTCTCTGGACCCTGCGTACCTCCCTGTGCCCTGCCCTGCACATGTATCGCCTTGGGAGGTCCCATCCACCGCTGCCCCCCCGCCACCGCCCGTGGGCAGGTGGGACCTGTCTCACCTGTCCCCTGTCCCCCACCAGGTCTACGTCCCCACCGTGTTCGAGAAGTACACGGCCTCCCTCCAGGTTGGCAGCAAATCCGTGACGATCCACCTCTGGGACACAGCAGGTGGGACGGGAGGGGATGGGGCAGGCAATCGTGTCCCCCCATCCGTGGGTTTTGGGGTGTCCCACACCCATGGGTCATGCCTTGGAGGGGTGTCCCCATGCACTGACCATGGTAGATGGGGAGTTAACCCACAGTGAGCCACAGGTCCTCGAGGATGTCACTCCCAGCAGTGCTGCCTTTCTGTCCCCAGAGCCCAACGGTGTCCCCAGGCTGGAGGGGTGGACAAGGTCCCAGGCTGGGGGAGATTCAGCCCAGTCAAGAACTGGTGCGTAATGGTCTGCTTCTTCACCTGGCAGGACAGGAAGACTACGACAGGCTTCGCCCGCTGTCTTACTCGGATGCCAATGTTGTCCTCATCTGCTTTGATGTCACCAACCCCACCAGCTACAGCAACATCCTAACGAAGGTAGCACAGCCCCCAGGGGGGCTGCCCCTGTCCTGCACATCCTCCTCCTCATGGGAGATGGCATGGAGCCGGAGTTGCTGTCCGTCTAGTGTCCCCATCCCCTGGGTGACATGCGTGTCCCCCTCTCGCAGTGGTACCCGGAAGTGAACCACTTCTGCAAGGGCATCCCGGTGCTGCTGGTGGGCTGCAAGACTGACCTGCGGCAGGATCGGGAGGTTCTGCACAAGCTGCAGGAGGGACGCCTGGAACCCATCTCCCACCAGCAGGCAAGTGTCACCCCCCCGACGGGCCAGGGATGCCCCGCGGCATGGGGCACTACGGGAACCAGAGTCCCCAGGGTGAGGGGTCTGACCCTGTGGGTCCCCACAGGGAGAAGCCATGGCCCGGCATGTCCACGCCATGTCCTACTTGGAATGCTCGGCCAGGTACCAGGAGAACATCCGGGACATCTTTGTGGAGGCCTGTAGTGCTGCCCTCAGTGCCTCCCGTCGCAGCCAGCGCAGGAAGAGACCCAGGAGGGGCTGCGTGCTGTGCTGAGCCCCCCACCCCTGGCATAGCCTTTGGGACCTGCTGCTCTCCCCCCCGCCTCGCTTCAGGACAGCACCTCAGCTCCCAGCTGCTCCCAGACCTCCTCTGCCACCACCAGACCTCTGTTGCCACCGCTGCCCCACACTCCTGTCCCCCCTGCAAGGGCCCTGCGAGGCTGGCACTGTTGGTCGCCGTGGGGTGCCAGCAGTATGACACCCCCCAGGCACGGAGAATCTGTCCCACCAGGGAACCCAGCATCCGAGCATCCTCTGCCAGCCTGCCCACACCGAGCCCCGTGAGCAGATGGGGCCTGAGAGCAGAGAACTGACTTTTGGGGTGGGGGGGGGTTCCCCTTCCCG